GGGCAGTGTTTCGTTCTGCTGAGCATAATGTCGCTATGAGTCGGTACTGACTTGATGACACCTAACAACAAGAACAAACCTCCTACAAAGCTTGCAGGAGGCATTAGAGGAGAAATAAGTGTGGAGAACTAGGACTGCTGTGTGGAATAAGCATGCATTCCGTAGATAATAGAGGTGATGGAAGAATGGTTTGGATTTTAAATACCTAGAACTGAATCCAGCTTATTCCAGTTTTGTGATCTTGTTCAAGGCACTTAACAACTCAAAGCCCCAGTGTTTCCATCTGTAAAATGGGGTACAAGTTACATTTTAGAAACAAGTGTTAACATGCTCAGCAGACAGTAATGTAAGACATTGCTTGCTGAACCCCTAATCCTTTTCCCCAACTCTGCACCCAATGGAGATGCTCATCGGAAGTACTGAATCTAGTCATCTACCCTCACTGACCAGCTCGTCCAGACTGTGAAGGCTCAAAACCCTTGAAACACATGTATGGAGAACTTCTTATTCCGTGTGAAGAGACATTACTTTTCAAAGCATTACTTTGCTGTCATCAGAAATGAGTGATGACGGAGAAGATCAGATTTCTACTGGTCTTCTGTGTCTGGGCTGATGAGCGTTTTTTAGAGAAATCCACTCCGGGTAGGCATCTCCTAAATTTCCCATGAGCATCTGGTGTTGGCTGGATTAACCTTCCTATTTCTAAGCAAAAGGGTTTAGGAAGATCTGCAACTACCCAGGACTCACTTCTAACAATGTCTTGAAGTGCAAATGAATGAAAACAGGAGGATTAAATGTCCCAGCACATCTGTAGAGACTTAAACTTTGATGAAGGAAAAAATGCCTTGACAGAATTGCTCCTGAGTCCAGAAGGCTTAGTATTGTGAGCAAGTGAGAGGCTCAGCCTGATGCCTGGCATGCCTGCATAGGAGGCTGTTTTGTATCAGTGGTTGTCATTATTCTGGGAGCTAGGTGGAGAAACTTATAATGCATCCACGAACTCATTGTAGCCAGATGGAGTTAAATGTCTGAAGAATATCTAGAAATAGCTGGCCCATTTGTCAATGGCCCTGTGTGTTACTTTGTATTTTGGACATCTCCTCATGTGCTTTCAAGTCCTGGTATGACACTCTGGGTTAATGCGCTGGACTGCAAAGTTGGTTTGAACTGCAAGATCGGTGGTTCAAGCTAACTAGCCGCTCCTCGGAAACTCTATACAGGGTCACTATGGGTCGGAACTGACTCAATGGCACTTAACAACAACAACATCATGTACTTTGGACATATTAGCAGGAGGACGCAGTCCGTGGAAAAGGACATCACACTTGGTAAAGTAGAGGGTCAGCGACAAATGAGGAAGGCACTCAATGCAATGGATTGATTCAGTGGCAGCAACAATGACCTCAAACATAGATAGCAAGGATTGTGAGAAGGGCGCAGGACCCCGCGGGCAGTGCTTCTCAGTTGTACAGAGAGTGGCTAAGAGTTGAAACTGACTTGGTGGAACCTAACAACAACAACAGCATGACTTATTTGTAATAGTTATCATTGATTATGTGCTCACCATGGTGTCTGTATTTGACACTGTGCTTTGTGTCTTAGTTTGGTGTCGGGGACCTGCCTCGACATGGGAGTTTGGTTCACAAGGAGGGGATATCTGGCGGTGATAGGGATAGCACAAGAGAAGACAAAGAGACACCCTGAAACCAGAGTGGATGCAATACTGGCGTCCGGCAGCTCAGGCGTGGTGAACATGTTAGCCAGGAGGGTGGTAAGATCCCGCATAGTAAACATCTTAGCTAAGCGGGCCATACGCACCCCTTACTAGCTGGTCAGTAACGCATGCCTAGTCAGCCGTATAACATGCTCTTACCGCATGCCTGTAATGCATGGCCTGCAAGCCGTAATGCACGGCCTGCCACCCGTAATGCACACCTGGGCCGGCCTGCGCCTCTGTTTTATTTAGGGGAGGAGCTTCACACCAAGCTGGGAGGGACTAAAACAAGGTACAGCTAGCATACGTAATTCTCCAGACATTCAGGCAACTTTACATCGTACTTCGCTGGTTCGAATCTCATGGCCACAAATTGGTTTCTCAAGCTCAATTAACATATCTATAGCACCTGAGCTCAGTTGGGGGAAGGTGAGAGGGAAGGTCAAAAGGCTTGGGAGGAGTCCCGCTGTGTTGGCTTCCTGAGCCAGGTTTGCAGGAAGACAGGAGATGCCCAGGTGAATGGGCTGCACCTGGGAAAGGATTAGGGAGGAAGTCCTTTTGTATATAGAACAAAGAACTGGGAAGTAGCAAAGCTATTTTTAGTCAGTCCTTTGGAGAAAAGCTTAACCTTTGAAACCTTTACAGTCTCGGCTTAAGGAAAATATTACATTTATCTGTGGATATCAGGGCTCATGTATGGAATTAGTAATAAACATAACTGGACACTAAGATGGAAAACAATTTGCTATGACTGCCAGGTGGCTAGAGTCTGTTCCTCAGAGCCTGCGGCCTGTATGGTCTGCAACACTTGGGCCCACAGGGCCTCGAACTTCTGACCTGGTCTGCACAGTCTGCAACAGTTTGGGTTTTCTCGGAAGCAGTTGCTGAGACATGGATTGGGGCATATGGTTTATTTAGGAAGGCCAAGGGGGAAGTGATACAGAAAAGAGAAAGTATCCAATCACAGGTGGACTTTTAAGCCAGCTGCTTAGTCCCATGGACAATCCATATGAACACATAAGGATCTGTGTCAGATTTCTTTACTTGTGCTTGCTTATCAGTCTATAGTTAACAATTTCACTTTTTTTTTTTTTTCCACATCAAAGATTCTACTAGGTCTGGCTGGCATCTGCCTCTCTCCCAACCCTATAGCACTGTACTACAGAATCAAGATTGCCTTTTCAAATTGGCAATTTTGTTGCCCCTGCTTTGAAAGGTTCGTTTGAAGCACAATCGTACTCTCTCAGCAGAACTCACCTCACCTCCTGGTCAAGACCCAGTGACCAAGGACCTGCCCCTCTCAGTGACTGGGCACGGGCTCACTTTGGAACCATCCCAGGCACACAGGGCTATTGGGCTATGGACATCACCTTGTTCTTCTTGCTGGGGGTTAGGGTGTTACCGCAGCCTTCCGAGCCAATCCAGCCATCCTGAACACTCATTGTAGGAGAATCTTTCTATTAAGGTTGAAATTGGGCAATGTATGGAAGGTTCCCCTCAGAGTGTGGGATGTTGTTGTGGTTTGTTCAGTGCCATCAGTTCTGACTCATAGTGACCCTGTATAGGGTTTCTGAGGAGTAGTTGGTGGGTTTGAACCACTGACCTTATGGTTCACAGTCCAGTGCTGATCCTAGAGCACCACACCAGTAATTTTGGAGTAATAACTTGTTAGATGGCTCTTTGTAATAATTAAAAGCAAAATTTGGACATTTCTTGATTCTTCAAGTTGTCAACTTCCTTTCTCCCGCAATGTGGGGGTTGTTTCCCTCCAAACTGTGTGCTTTCTGAGGCCTTTCTCAGCTTTTTAGGTTGGGAGGGGAACTGGTAGAGACTTAGGGATGACCTTCAACAAATGGTGTGGCAAATCCAAGTGGAGGGTCTGTGTAAAAGAGGAAACCCTCAATGACATGGATTGACAATAGCAGCAGCGGTGGGCTCAAACAACAATTGTGAGGATGGCGCAGGACCGGGCAGGGTGTCACTCTCTTGTGCATGAGGTCACGATGAGGTGCCTGCTCAGTGGCAACTAAGAACAACAACCAGTGATTGAGTGCATGCCAAATATTTCTGGAAGAAATTCAGCTGGATTGCTCCTTGAAAAGGAGACTTTGTCTTTTGTACTTTGGACATGTTATCAGGAGGGACCAATCCCTGTAGAAGGACATCATGCTTGACAAAGTAGAGGGTCAGTGAGAAAGAGGAAGACCCTCGATGAGATGGGCTGACAATGGTAGCAACAGTGGGCTCCAACAAAACAACAGTTGTAGGATGCTGCTAGACCGGGCAGTGTTTACTTCTATTGTACATACGGTTGCTATGACTCAGAACTGACTCTTCAACAACAACCAAATGTTAAGGATTACACTAGACAGTGGATACACATCCTCACAATTCTCATCTCCGTGTGCCAATGAGACAAAAATTTCAGAAAAGTTAGGCGATGTGGAAAACTAGCAAGGCTCTCAAGTCTACAAGCTTGGCTTTATATAAGTTCCTTATGTGCTTCTCCTGCGGCACAGGCTCAGGGCTGCTCAGAGTCCCTTTGATGCCCTGATCACAGACAATAGGGTCTGGCCAGCTACATTGTTGTTCCTGGGAGACGAGAGAGCCTTTAGAGGCTGTCAGAGAGCTACCTTGTTCAGGAAACAGGTCCTGAATGGAGAAAGAGGCAGCTGGTGGTCATTTGTTTCTGCTAAATGTCATTGAGTCATTTCCATCTCATAGCAACACTCTAAATGGTTTCCAAGGAGTGGCTGGTTTGAACCACAGACCTTGTGGTTAAAATGCCAGTGCTTATCCAACAACGCCACACCAGGATTCCAGTTGGTGGTAATGGAGGTGCCCAGTGACGGCAAGCATACACTCAAGCTCATCAGAATATCAATCTTCCCCTGTTGCAGGTCTGACACCGCTGGATAAAACACAAGGCACTTTTTCCAGTTCCCAGCAAGTTTACCTTTGGAAAGGTAAAGAGGTGGGGTGGGAGCAGGGGACAGGTGGCAAGAGAGTGTCTTCACCACCTCTCATTCACTTGGCACTTGGCTCCCCACACAGAAAAGTGCAGAGTTTGACTTCCCAAGTGTATGAAGTAGAAGGATGTCAGTTCCCCATCCGATAAAATGTTAAGTGCCATTGAGTCGGTTCTGTGGGCTCACTCTGCTTTCATGAAAGGCCTCTTCATTACTTGGAGATTTCATTTCATTTATTTATTTATTTCAAATCCAGATTCATCTACACATGAGGTCACCTTGAGTTGGAATGAACTCAGTGGAAACTGGGTTGGTTTGAGCTACCTACCGATGAGGGGCTAGGATGAATGATGTCACCTCTCCATGTTTCAGTCTTCTGAAGGATAATATGGAAATCTTACTGTCTACCCTCACAGGGTCTTCTTCAGAGGACAAATCTTGATGAACATATTTTGTTAGCTGCTTTTCAATGAATATAGTTTTTAATATCAGAGACTTATGATACTTCTTTTAGTAAGAGACTGGCTGATATTCCACAAAAGATTATACATCTGTACCACTGGATTTACTCTAGATCTTGAGCTGACTGTAGATCATGAGAACGTCTCAAATTGCCATTGGCCAGAAGAATACCTCCCCAAACATTAGAATGCATCTCTTCCTTTCCCTTCTAGATTCTGACATGGGGTCTCGATCTGAGTCTGTGGGATGTAGAAGAGGCCCAGCACCAAGGCCAGCATCATCAGAAACAGGTACTGACTTCAAACACTGTTTACACTGCTGGTAGTTTAATCAGTGAATCTATTCATCAGTGTCCTTCCATGTTGTAGTATGGTGTCTTAAACTGGGCTCTCTAGAGAAGCCAAACCCAGTGAACTAGAGAGAGAGGGAAGGAGAGGTTTATATCAAGGAAATTGTTACCACAAAGCCTGGGCCCAATGCCCTGAAGCAATTGAGTCCAACTGACAAACACTCCACATAATCAAAGAGAAAAACCTTCCTTTTTATTAGGAAGGCAGCTGCCGGGTGCAAGTCGTCTCATTTTCAATGGTGTTCAAATGGCTCTCGGTTACAAGCACTTTTTGTACTATGCCTTTTTTCTTTTCCTGTCAATTGAGTGAAGGTTTACAGACAAGATCATCAGTTTGACATTCAACAAATCATACTCTTAGTTTCATCTCAATAGTTGTAATCCCGTCCATGCAACAGCAGTTATCCCAGTTCCTCTCTGTGGTTATCTGTGTACAAACATCCTCTTTCAAACTCATATATTTGTGGAATACATATATATCTTCCTCCCATACTCATTCAGTCTGTGTCTCTGTGTATGTATCTACACACAAAACACTGTTGTTCCAAGATTGCATGTAGATCACTATTTACTTTTCTTTCTTTAGCCCTTGCATACCTCCCTGTGTCTTCACCTGTCATCATCATTCTTCTGCCAACCTCTGTCTTGTATATTGCCCTCCCCATTACCCAAGTTAACATGTGTCTACCCTCTTCTTGATAAACTTAGCCACATACTACATGTATGCTGTTGTTGTTGTTAGGTGCCATATATGTATAGAGAGCTACAATCGTAACATTCACACTAAATTACAAGATGATCATGATACCCCCATGAACATCTCAGGGAGGGCATGATTAAATATTCTGGTGTCTGTTTGTCTAGATGGTCACTCCTTATCAGAATAGGGACCAGACTCCAGGCAGACAATTATTAACATTCCAGCCTAAAATTGTCAAAGCACATTGAAGGAACAAGGATAAGTTGGGGAGGGTGTCTAAGATGCTCTCAGGCAGTGCTTCAGTATATTTACTCTGAACTAAGTGAAATAGTGATACTGTCAAAAGGACTCACCCAATTAGCTGTAGAACAAGTTCTAAGTCTATGGGTCAGATGTTAGGCTGAAAGCTTCTTCTGACTCACGGAGCTGCGGGAGTTGATGAACCCAAAATTGGCAGGTAAGGTGGTAGGTAAGATGGCAAGTAAGATGGCAGGTAAGATGGCAGACAAGATGGCAGGCAAGATGGCAGGTAAAATGGCAGGTAAGTTGGCAGGTAACATGGCAGAATACTGATGACTCCCAGGATCAGCAGGCTATATAGCAGGCTGCTGGCTCAAGTCCAAAGAATTGAGGGTCAGATGACAAAGCACACACAGGATCTAGACCCAGCAAAAGCAAGTGAGCTTTGCCTGAGTTTCCCAAGGAGACTTCTTTTCAACTGATTGGTCGTTCATAGCAGATCTCATTATGGATGTGATTACATTATGTGAGATCTGACCATAGAGGCTGACTACCTCATATCTATCAAGCACTGAGACATTAACACAAAACCTTAACTATCTCATATGAAGTCTCCGCTAAGTTTCTAACCCCATCTCATAAATATGGTAGCTCTTCACTTGGGCAGTTGGTACAAAAAGTGAGGCAAAAGCATTGGGGAACAAAACACCAGGTATAGTAATGAAAACACAACTCAACAACAGCAAAAGACAACCCAAAATAGCAACTCTTAAAGAGAGAGCCTCTGCTATAACAACCTTGAGGATAAGCTCAACTGAAATATTCTATAAGTGGTTGAGGAATGAAGTATCTCTGAGAGTCTTTTGGAGGAAAGTCAGTCATTTCATGTTCTGGAAGATAGGAGTTCACCATTACTAGGAGCAGAAGGTAGTGTCAGAGACTTCTCTACCTCCACAGTCTAGTGTCATGATGGACTGAGAGGGAGAGTAGGACAGGTACCAGAGCTGGAACCTCTTTCCTGTCCTGACTCTACTACCCACATGACTCAGTGATTTCCTCTTGTTTAGAATGAAGCTAATCTTGGTTCCTCTTCTCCCATTGGATGATAGGCCAGGTGAAACACCTAGCACATCATCTAGCACTTAGGAGATGTTCCCCATGCCCCAAATGGTGGTTTCCTTTCCCTCTCCCTGAATGTTTGTGATAATAAAATGGAATTATGTGCACAAACCAAGGGTGAAGGGGCTCCACTTAGTGTTCAACAGTCAGAAGTTCATTCTGCTTGTATAGAATGGTGGTGGGATTCAAGGATGGTGGCACTGTGGGTTAGGCATTGGGCTGCTAACCACAAGGTTGGCGGTTATAAACCATCAGCTGCTCTGCAGGAGAAAGATGAGTGTGTCTGCCCCCGAAGAGATTTACAGTCTCAGAAGCCCTATATGTAAGGTTGCTTTGAGTCAGAATCAAGTTGATAGCAGTGTGATCCCCCACCCTTTAGAGTGTTGCCTCCCATGTCAGGGATTTGGGGTTTGAATCCCAGCCCTGGCTCTATCAGCCTGTGTACATCTGAGTGTGTCACCTTCTCTGAGCCTCAGTTTCTCCTTCTGATAATGAGAGTTCTAGCTGTATCTGTATCTGTGTGACAGGGGAATGGTGGACATTAGGGGGATGCAAAGGCAGTGGCCCAGGGCAAGTGCTCACAGCATGGCAGCTGGGATTTGGGGGTGGGGTGATGGTGAGGAGTACGATCCTAGCACAGAACCTGGCTCAGAGCGGTGCTCAGTATGGTTTGTCCCATTCCATCTCTTCTTCTGTGTCCCAGTCAGAGGTCTGAATGGGCTCACAGCACACATGCCTGTCCATATTCCACTGGGCATGTGTGTCCCTTACACCTTCAGAGATTCTCCAGTGGGAGTGCCACATGCTGTAGGAGAAGGCACTTTGGTGTGCCCATGATTTCTACATGTGCTTGTTTATTCGACTGCACTGTGCAGCATCCCCAAGGCGAGCCTCTGTTTCTAAGCCCAGTGAGGCATTTCCCCTGCCTGCTCAGGTAGCACAGCTTTTCTGAGTGCTGGAGACAGACCCGGGAAGTCAACAAGAGCACCCATCTCTCTCTCTCTCTGTGTCTCTCACATACACACTCAGAGTTGAGATAAAGTCGCAGGAAGTTAACTCCTCCCTTTTTTCCAGATTTGGCCGCAGAACTTTTCTCCCCTGTGGACCTTAACCAGATCACTGTCAATGAGGACCGACGCCTGCCCAGCCAACAGTACTGGCTTTTCAAGCACCTCTTTTCACCCCAGCAAGCAAACCTGTGGTGTCTCTCTCGTAAGTATCCATATGCCGTGTCATTCTTCTGCCAGTCCCTGTGGTCAGCTATCATAGGCCTAGCTGGACCGTTACTGAGATGCAGGTAAGTTGCATTCAGTGGCATGACTCAAGGGTTGCTCTAGTGCTAGCACTGTGGGTGATGCAGGAGAAATACACAATATAGGTGCTCTCTACTCTGCTCCCAGAACCAATGATCTGTTTTCCATTCACCTATGTCAGAGAAAAAGAGGAGATAGATTGGCCAAGTGGCAGCACCAATGGACTCAAGTGTGAAAATAGTAGTGAGGTTGGCCCAGGATCGGGCAGTGTTTCATTCTGCTGTGCATAGGGTTGGTATGAGTCGGTACTGACTCGATAGCACCTAACAACAACAACAATGTATCCATCCACCTATCTATCTGTCTATCCATCCATCCATCCATCCATCTGTCCACTCACTCAGCTGTCCATCTATGTACCCATCCAATCATGCATGCATCATCCTTCCATCCATTCATTTATCCATCCATCCATCCATCCATCCATCCATCCATCCATCCATCCATCCATCCATCCATGCATCCTTCCATCCATCCATCCTTCCATCCATCTATGCATTCAACTGTCCTCTCACCTGCCTGTCCGTCTATGCACCCATCTGATCATGCATTCAACTGTCCATCCATCTATGCATTCAACTGTCCACTCACCCACCTATCCATCTATGCATCCATCTATGAATTCATCTATGCATCCGTCCATCCATCCATCCATGCATCCATGCATCCTTCCATCCACCCATCCATTCATCTACCCACCCATCACTCTGTCCATCCATCTGTGCATCCACTCATCCATCTATGCATTCACCTGTCCTCTTACCTACCTGTCCATCTATGCACCCATCTGATCATGTAGGTATGCATGCATGCATCCATCCTTTCATTCATACATTCACCTATCCGTCATTTACTCAACAGGCAGTTACTAAGCATGTGCTGTCTTCTGGGTCTTGTGATTGACCTTAGAGATGAAGACACAAAAACAAAAATGAATCTAACATGATCTCTGCCTTCAAGGAGCTTTAGCGGCACACACTCGTGGCAAAGAGTGACATGTGATCATGGGCAGGGAAACTCATTTACCAAGTTAATGAGCTGTTTACAGTTCTGTGGTCTCTGATATCTAGATTCAGAAGGCTTTATTAATGGCTATGGTCAAAGAGCCAATGGAATTCTTCCCTCTCTTCTCCTATATTGTTGAGTTTGAAGCTCGCCCCTCCAGCCCTGTAGGCTCTGCCTTTAGTCAGCCCCACATAGATTCTCTGTTCCATGCGTGCCCCTCTCCTTAGCTAACAGAACTCCAACTTTATTGGGCTTTCCAGACTAGATGGACACAACTGGGCATTTCTTGCAAGAAGATCCTGTAAGGGTAGCTCTCTTCTGTAGTTCTCCTAAGGACTGACAGTTAAATGCTCTTTGTCTATAGGCTGTGCTCAGGAGCCCTCTTTCTGTCAGCTCGCAGAGATAACAGATAATACACCTTTGTCCTTCACCTGCACCCTCTACCCAGAGGCCCAGGTGTGTGATGATGTCATGGACTCCAGTTCCAAGGGCTGCAGAATGATTCTGCCCCACAGACCAAAGATTCTGTTCCGGAAGAAAGGTGAGCACTTGGTTGGAACTGTGAAAACTACTTCTAATGGGCTGCTAGCTCTGTGCTTCCAGAAATACACAGACTCATTTCTTCTTTCTGAAATCAATTTATGCATGCTCCTTTGTAAAGGTATGAAGCAACTCAGAAATGCAAGTTGATGATAAAAGAAATAATCCTGCTCTTCAATCCCGTGCCTCGGAGGAGGCCACTTTTATGCTTTTACCCATCAGAAATGATTTGGCATAAGATATTACCGAAAATCCCAATGATAGCAGCTTTAACAAGGTAGCAGTTGGGTTGATTTTTCTCCCAGGACTCAGGAATACGCTTTTTGGTGTTTTGTACCCTGCACAGTAGTCTGTTTCATCTCAGGTTCTAGTTTTTCATGTACCGTCCCCTCTATTTTTGTTGGGAGAACTTTCTTAGATATCCGATAATTTGGTGACTTTTTGTATTTCCACTCAAATATAAGAAAGGGGCCAAAGAGGTGATTGGGAAGCTTGGACTTGTTGATGCTCGATCTCCCTGTAGGACAGTCCAGTTGTGCCTGCTCCTTATGTCAGTACTTTTAGGTTCATCCCCTAGAGAAATCTCTTGCTACCTCTGGCCTGGTTGCTAGTGGTTTGGGCACCAAGTAAGGTTGGAGGGCTGGGGAATCTCAATACTCACTATATACACCAACTTGATAAAAGCCCCTCGTTTTGGTATGGTACCTGAACCACTAACTCCAATCCAGAGACTTCTCTCCTGTCCTCTTCAGAGATTAAATCTTCCATAGTGGAGAAAGGGTGGTTTTGGAAAGCAAAGAGGACCATCTTAAATAATTTTTCAATTCATCCTTCCATTCTTAGCCCATCTGCGATCCCAGGGCTGGGGATACTTAAACCTTTGGGATTCCACAAGTCACATTGAGCTCCTACTTGGTTCTTCCTATGGGAAGTCTGAGACTCAGCTTCCTTGGGTCTCTGAAGCCATTTTGACTCAAATGCATGCTTTTGAAATGTTGTTGCTCTAGTTTTTTGTTCTCTTTATCCTGGTCAGTTTGTGGTTTAAAAATCATCCCTTTCTTAGTATTTTATTAAGATTTGGGCAGGGGGCAGAGAATGAACTTCATTTTAATCTGCCATTTTTACCTGGAAATGTTTAATTTGGTTATTACTCCTCTGTCCTGATATTTTCACAAACACAACAAATCTCTTTCTAAGTAAACTATTTATTTATTTATTTTTTCTTTCTGTGTAGTTGTACTGAAAGATAAAGTGGAGAACTTTTACACCCGTCTGCCATTCCAAAAGCTGACTGGAATTTCCATTAGAAGCAAAGTGCCCATGTCTGAAAAATCCATTTCTAATGGGTAAGCTGCCCTGCAGATCTGACGTCATCCTAAGAGGGCAGGAAAACTGCAAGAACAAAGCTCAGACTTCATGTTCTTAGCTGAACAAGAGTTGTGGAGTCGGGACTAGTGATCAGCATGAGACAGAGTTAGAGAGGGAGAGTTTAGAATTGAGCCCAAAAGCATTGGTTTGGAACCGATCAAGACTTGTGTATCAAGATCGGTCCTAGAGTCTGTGAGCGGGCCCAGTAGCTACAGTGACTTGATAGGCAAGGTAGACCCTGGGACTGTAGATCTGCTGAGCAGAAAACAGAAATGCATTTCTGGAAGGGGATTACCCTGTGCTACAGAGCGAGGGAAGTAGGAAGTCAAAGGGAATCCAGCTTGAGACCTCTGCTAGGTCGTGCTGAGAATCATGCTTTCTGGTGGCACCTTCTCTGCTGTTTGTTCATTTCCCCAGCGTCCACAGCTGAGATTCTCTTCTGATCTTAAAAGGATTGTAGGAGCACATTCAGGATCCTGGGTGGGCCTGGCTTGGAGCCTGGAACATAGTAGATACACATTACGTGCTTTAATTTGGAGTCTGGAACACAGTAGGTACCCATTACATGCTTAAACTTGGAGCCTGGAACACAGTAGGTACACATTACATGCTTAAACTTAGAGCCTGGTACATAGTAGGCACATGTTACGTGCTTAAACTTGGAGCCTGGGACACATGTTATGTTCTTGAACTTGGAGCCTGGGACACAGTAGGTATACATTATGTGTTTGAAATTGGAGCCTGGGACACAGTAGGTACATGTTATGTGCTTGATGACCATGCAGGTGAAGGAAAGACAGCAAGCCATGATGTCCCAGAGAAGAGTAGAATTTTTTTTTTTTTCTTGAATAACCTCAAAGCCAGGAAGTCCACCCATTCAACTTGACTAACGCACCCCCAGACTGGGTAGTCATAATGAAAGAGGACCCGAGATTACAAATGTCTACAGTCCAGCTTCCGTCTCCTCTTGCTCCAGGTTCTTCGAGTGTGAACGGCTTTGTGACGCAGACCCGTGCTGTGCTGGGTTTGGATTTCTCAACGTCTCCCAGTTAAAAGGTAGCAATGATTCCAACTTCCCCCTCCCCGTGTGCAGCCCTCTACAGTCTAGAAAACACGTCTATGATGTTATCTAGCAGCACCTTTCACAGAAGGAGAGGAGGTGGCTAATAAATGTGATTGCTGAGATGTGGCTTCTAGTCCACAGCTCTGTCAGTTTGGCACACACCTGGTCTGAAGGGCCTTCCTCGTACGTCTCACTTAGCTGTCTTCTGCACATCCTCGCAGACTCAAGTGAGGCAGCTTGGTGTTGGATCCATTCATTGGATCTGTGTTGAAAGTTTGATTCAGTCCTGTATGAGAAGTCATGGGGGCAATGTGGTTAAATGCTCAGCCGCCAACTGAAACCACTCTGTGGTTTGAACCCACCAGCTGCTCCACAGGAGGACGATCTAACAGTCTTCTTGTGTAAAGATTACAGCCTTGGAAACCCTATGGGACATCTGTCTCCTCTGTTCTCTAGGGTCACTATGAGTTGGTATGAACTTGACAGCAAAGGTGGGCCAGGTCTGTGCTAGTGGTATGATGCTGGGAAGTCGCTTCATATCTTAGTGCCTCTGTTTCCTCATCTGTAAACAGGAACACTAGGGCTACCTTCCTCATGTGAGGACCAGGTGTTGTGATTTTGTGATGTACCACTCTAGCCAGCCTGGCCTCCATCCCTGGATCATCCTCTGCTGCGTCCTCCATCCCTGTGCTCTGACACAGGAATTCCCAATGTTCAAAAGCTCCCTATGGGTTTCATCTGTATATTCCCAGTGACAAAAATCACACCTGGTCCTGGTTACTGTCTGCTGCAGGTGGAGAGGTGACCTGCCTGACCCTAAACAGCTTGGGACTTCAGACATGCAGCGAGGAGAACAGAGGAGCCTGGCGCATCTTAGACTGTGGGTCTCCTGACACTGAAGTCCGCACTTATCCCTTTGGATGGTACCAGAGACCTAGTACGTAAGCTACCTGCCCCTAATAGCCATATAGGCATCATTCGTGGGTAGTTATCTAACCGTGCAGGAGGAGGATGTCCTTGGACTGGGAAGTAGGTTAATCAGGACTCACTGGGTACAAGCAACAGAAACAGATTCTATTTGAATTATTAAAAAAAGGAATTCATTGGAAGTCTGCTTATAGACTCAAAGGAATGCTGACCAACATATCTCAGAAAAGATGGAATTGGACTAGACCCATGGATATATTTAGAAGGAACAAAAGGACAATATTCAGTGGGGCTATTGTCTTCATTTATCTGCTCCAAGGAGTTTAGTCGTTGTATTCAAGTTTCAGATTTAAGGAGAGAATTTGGTCCAGCTTGGGCTTGAGCTCTCCCACTGGCAGAGGAAGGATGGAGCAGCTTGATTGACAGGCCCAGCAAGACTGTACACTGGGAAGGGTGCTTCCGGAATGTATGACTAAGGTGCTGTTGCTGCACAGAAATGGGCACTCTCTCAGGTTCCCTTGTCAGTCAAGACAATGTAACATATGGAAGTCTCAGGGAAGGAAATGGGGACAATGTCCATGGAGCTAGAATTTCAGTGTGGACCCTTCACAGGTACATGACCTGCATGGTGTGGTGGTGAAGCTACTAGACTCACATGGGAAGACATTAGTGTCTTTTCAACTCTGCCATTTACACTATGCTTATTGCTGGGAACATCTTGGACCCACTACCTTGGGCCTTGGTTCCTCCATTGGTAAAATAAATGAGTCTCACAGAGGTCCTTTCTCGGCTGAGATCTGGGGTGCGTGTGGACATGGGTTGATACAAGGAGGTGCTTAGACAACCATCCTATGTCATAGAAGCAAATCGATTGAAAGCCCCGTTTTGCTAGGTGCAGTTGAGTAGATTCTGACTCCTAGTGAACTCAGGGACAACAGAACGAGAACTGTCCATTCTTGCGTCATCCTCACCATCACTGTTAGACTTGATCACATTCCATTGCTGTTACCACAGTGCCAATCCATCTCGTTGGGGGTCTTCCTCTTTTTCACTGACCCTCCACTCTAGAAAGCATGATGTCCTTCGCCAAGCACTGGTCCCCCCTGACAATATGTCAAAAATATGAGAGACTAAGTCTCTCCATCCTGGCTTCTAAGGAGCATTCTGACTGCACTCTTCTAACACAGATTTGTGTGTACTTCTTACAGCCCATGATACTTTTAATATTCTTTTCCAAGGCCATAACTCAAATGCATCAATTCTTCTACGATCTTCCTTATTCATTGCCCAGCTTTCGCATGCATATGAGGTTATTGAAAATACCATAGCTTGGGTCAGGTGCACTTTAGTCCTCAAACTGACATCTTTGTCATTTAAAATGTCAGATTTGCCTAATGCAATAAGTCATGTGATTTCTTGACTGCTGCTTTCATGTGCCTAATGAAATAAGTCATGTGATTTTTTTTTTTTTTTGCCTAATTTTGATTTTTTGCCTAATGCAATAAGTCATGTGATTTCTTGACTGCTGATAGTTGATCTGAGCAAAATGAAGTCTCGGACAACTTCAATTTTTTCTCCATTTACATGGATGTTATTTATTGATCCAGTGGTGAGGATTTTTGTTTTCTTTACATTGAGGTGCAACCTATACTGAAGGCTGTGCTCTTTAATATTCATCAGTAACTATTTTAAATTCACTTTGCTTTCAGAAACAAGGTTGCATCATCTACATATTGCATGCTGCTATTGAGTCTTCCTCCAGTCCTGATGCCACACTCTTCTTCATATAATCCAGCTTCTCAAATCATTTGTTCAGTACGTAGATTGAATAAGTATGGTGAAAGAATACAATCCTGGCACACACCTTTCCTAATTGTAAACCATTCAGTGTCCCCTTGTTATGTTAGAACAACTACCTCTTGGTGTATATATAGGTTCCTCATGAGCACAATTAACTGTTCCAGAATACTCATTCTTTGCAATGTTGTATATAGCTAGTCAAAAACCTTTGCATAGCCAATAAAGCACAGGTAAACATCTTTCTGATATTTTCTGCTTTCAGTCAAAAGTCATCTGACGTCAGCAATGATATCCCTTGTTTCATGTCCTCGTGTAAATCTGTCTTGAACCTCTGACAGTTCCCTGTCAATGCACTGCTGCAACTGGTTTTGGATTATCTTTAGCAAAATTTTATTTTGACATATTAATGATATTCTCTGATGATTTCCTCATTCTGCTGGGTCACCTCTCTTTGGAATGGGCATAAATATGGATCTTTTCCAATCAGTTGGTCAGGTAGCTCTCTTCCAAATTTCTTGGCATAGATGAGTGAGTGCCTCCAGTGCTGCATCAGTTTGTTGAAAGATTTCAATTTATAGTCCATCAATTCTTGGAGCCTTGTTCTTTGCCAATGCCTTCAGTGCACCTTGGACCTCTTCGTTCAATATCTTTGGCTCTTGATCATATGCTACCTCTTGTAATTATTGAACGTCAGCCATTTCTTTTTGGTTCAGTGACTCAGTATACCTTCCATCTTCTTTTGATGTTTTCTGCATCATTCAATATTTTACACATGTTGTTTTTGTTAAGTGCCATTGAATTGGTTCCGACCCATAGCAACCCTATATAGGGTTTCCAAGGAGCAGTTGGTAAGCTTGAACTACCGTCCTTGTAGCTCAAACCAACTTTGCAGTCCAGTGTATTAACCCACAGCACCACATCAGGACTCCGTTTTTCCCATAGAATCCTTCAGTATTTCAAGTTGAGGCTTAAATTTTTCCTTCATTTTTTTTTCCAGCTTGAGAAACGCTAAGCATGTTCTTCCCTTTTGGTTTTCTACCTCCAGCTCTTGGCACATTTCATTATAATATTTGACTTTGTCTTCGTGAGCTGCCCTTTGAAGTTTTCTATTCAGCTTTTACCTCCTCATTTCCTCTATTTGCTTCAGCATCTCTACATTGGAGAGTAAGTTTCAGAGTCTCTTCTGACATCCATTTTGGCCTTTTCTTTTTTTCTTGTCTTCTTAATGACCTTTTGCTTTCTTCCTGTATGATGTTCTTGAAGTCATCCCACAACTCTTCTTTCTGGTCTTCAGTCATTAATGTCTAATTCATCCAATCTGTTCTTGAAATTGTATCTGAATTCAGGTGAGACATATTCAAGGTCATATTTTGACTCTTGTGTATTTGTGTTAATTTCTTCAACTTCAACCTGAATTTGCATATGAGCAATTGATGGTCTGTTCTGCAGTCTGCCCCAGACCTTGCTTTGTCTGATGATATGGAGCTTTTCGACTGTCTCTTTCCACAGATGTAGTCAATTTGATTTCTGTGTATTCCAGCTAGTGAAGTCTATGTGTGTAGATTTTTATGTTGTTTAAAAAAATGTATTTGCAATGAAGAAATCATTGGTCTTGCAAAACTCTGTCAAGAAATCTTCAGCATCATTTTTATCACAAGGTTGTATATTCCAACTACTGATCCTTCCTCTTTGTTTCCAGCTTTTGCATTCCAATTGTCAGTGATTATCAGTGTATCTTGATTGCATGTTTGATCAGTTTCAGACGGAAGTAGTTGGTAGAATTCTTCAGTTTCATCATCACTGGCTTTAGTGGCTGGTGCGTAGATTTGAATAATAATGGTATTAACCGGTCATCCTTGTAAGTATATGGATATTATCCTATCACAGACAGTGTTATACTTGAAGATAGATCTTGAACTGTTCTTTTTGATGATGAACGTGACACCATTCCTCTTCAATTTGACATCTCTGGGGCATAGTAAACTATATGATTTTCAGATTCAAAATCACTAGGGCCAGTCCATTTCAGCTCACTTATACCTAGGAAACTCATATTTATGTGTTCCATTTCATTTTTGATAACTTCCAGTTTCCTAGATTCATACTTTGTACATTCCATGTTCCAATTATTAATGGATGTTTACAGTTGTTGCTCCTCATTTTGAGTTGTGCCCCATCAGAGAATCAAGGTCCTGAAGGCTTTTACTCCATTCACGTCATCACAGTCAACTCTACTTTGAGGAGGCAGCTCTTCCCCAGTCATATTTTGGGGGCCTTCCAACCTGAGGGTTTCATCTTCCGGCACTATAGCTGACAATATTCTGGTGCTCTTCGTTGTGTGTTTCAGTAGTGCATATTTTGGTGTTATCTGACAGTGTTCCACGGCTATTCATAAGGTTTTTAGTGACCAAGTGTTTGGAAGTAGATCTGCCTCTCCTTCCTGGTCTGTCTTCCTGTGGAACCTGCCCACCATGGGTGACCCTGCTGGTATTTAAAGTACCAGAATCAGAACTTCTAGATTCACAGCAACATGAAAGCCAGCACAGTAGGACAAACTGACAGACAAGTGGTGTACAGTGATGAACTGAAGTTCAGCATCACTGATCTCTCCCACTGTGGCTTCCCCCTAAATTTCTGAGTAAGTATAGGATGGGTGATGGCTTCTTCTTAAAGTACTGCCTGATCCTAAAGAACTCTTAGAAATCTGTGACTTGGGTCTTCACATTCTTCACAGTGCCCAGCCCAACACACCTCCCAAAGTGGTCACGTTCCTCCTGTGTGTCAGACACATGCTGAGGCTTCTACACGGGCTATATCATGTCATTCCCATAACCCTGGGGACATAATGGGTTGCATGCTGGGCTTCTAACTGTAAAGTTAGCAGTTCAAATCCACCAGCCACTCTGAGGGAGAAAGATGAAACCTTCTGCTGCAGTAGAGATTTATAGCCTTGGCTACGGCTAGCCTATACAGGGTCACTATGAGTCAGAACTGACTAGATGATACACAATGAGAACATCCCCCGTACATTGTTGTTAAGTGCCGTAGAGTCAGTGTCAACTCATAGGGCTTCAAACTGACCTTGCAGTCAAGTGCTTATCCTACATTGCCACACCAGGACTCCTACCCCTATAGAGTAGGTTGAATTAATCCCAGTTTAAGATAGACAGAGTGAGGCACAGAACACTCAAGTTGCTTGAAAAAACCACA